TCCACCCGGGAACCTCACCCTCCCTCTCAGCCCAAGCTTCCTGGTTTATCTACTCCAGCAACAAAGAAGCATGACCAAAGCGGGCCCAGCCATCTGGATGCCTCAGAGGAGAGGGACCTCATTTCATCCTATGGCGAGTTGCCATTAGTAGAACAGCAGGAAGTTATAAACAGGCTTGATACACTCAAGCAGCAACTTACACATGTACTTCAAGAGAAAATCTCCTCAAATCCTGGACATAGCAACCTATTAAATCAAAGGAAAGCAGTTATGAAGGGGCTAACACCCCAGAAACCCCTGCCAAATACTGGGACTCCAATAACGGATGATTTGGCAGTCTGCCTGGCGGAAGCTCCTCATACACCGTCGCAACGCAGACCCCCTTCACCTCTACTAATAGATCTGCAATCAACTACCTCGTCCTCCGCCTTAAAGAGCAACGCGCCAAACACACCTCATCCTGGTAATCTGTCAATGTCCTATTCTTCTATGCCTGACCTGGAGTCTTCAATCAGTGCGGTCCAGTCAAATGACTCTATATCCTCGTCCTTTGCCAGTCAACCTCTTTTGGTAGAACCTCATTTATCCGCAACCTCTTCAAGCCAATATATAAACGTTAAGGAAGCCACTGTGCAAAGAGACAACTCAGGTTTTACTGAAGACCCTGCTGGTCACATCAATCAACTCACCACCCCTTCGATACCTTCGGTAGTACCTCGCCTGGCGCTGTCTCAGACCCCTGGCAATGTCCTTCCCACCAGCAACCAGAGCAATTGACTAGCACATAGTCCCTCCTCAAATTGCTTTAATGTGCTATCCTGGAATGTGGCAGGATGGACGTCCAAACAGGATGACGGGTTTTTAGCGAAATTCCAGATTATGGGTATACAAGAGACCTGGTGCTTAGAATCTTCACCCCCCCCCATCCCTACCGGGCTATGACGCCTTTGTGATTCCTGCGACCAAAACACATTTGTATGGGCGCCCTAGTGGAGGCCTGGTAACATTTGTTTCGCAGGAGCTTCAGCTTAATATCTCTCCTATCTTTTGGTTAGAGAGTAATTACATTCAAACTTTGCACATCACTAACAGCTCGCTTGGGGAATTCATATGTGTAAACTTGTACAATCCATCTACCTACTCCTCTTCTCATTCAAATCAGCTTTGGGAGGATTTAAGATTTATTCTAGATAAATCTGGGGCTGAATTTCCAAAGTCAGAGATCCTTATACTGGGGGACTTCAATGCCAGAATCGGAGCAGATATAAGCTTATTCACCGATAAGTCGCAATTATTCATAGAAGAGGAGTGGTTTCCTACGTGGAATTCACATGACAAGACCATTAATAGGGCTGGCATCATACTGCTGGAGTTCACTATAAACTGCGGGCTGCACAGCTTGCACGGCACACCCAAAGACTGGTCCGGGGGATACTATACTTTTCTAGGATCTAGAGGGGCAAGTGTTATAGATTACATCTGGTCCTCCTCAGCATTTAATGATGAGGCATATTGTTTCAATGTGTTCAACAGAACCGAAAGTGACCACCTTCCAATTGCCATCTCCTTCCACCACACACAGCTGGGGCCTCCCAGCTCACCACACCCCCAGGATTCACTGACCTTGGCCCCCGGACGTAAGAAGTGGGACATCTACCTGGAGCAAGACATAAAAGTCCTCCTAAATTCCCCTGAGATCCTAGCCCTGAAAGCTCAGCTGTTAACAATGAATGTGAATCATTTCTCAATTTTCCAGCAAATTCTAGCCTACTTGCTACCTTCGCTTACGAAACCTTCCCGTGCGATTCTAACCTGGAAGAATCAAACTTGGTTCGACCAAGAATGCAAACAGTGCAGAAGTAGGCTTAGATTTCTTCAGTCTGACATGAAATCAGACAGCACTCAGAGCAAAATCAGGGAGTTAGCCCAATTTCGTTCATACTATAAGAAGCTGCTCCAACATAAGAAATTGCTCTTTGCGAAAGAACGCTGGACGGCTCTGTCAGTGGCCATTAAAACCCATGACGACAAGAAATTTTGGAATTTAATTAATGCAGGTTTAAGACACCCCCCCTCATTCATTGTTAATAACATCACAGCAGCCAGCTGGCACTCTCACTTTGCTCAGCTGTTCCCCCAGATCTGACGTAAATGTAGTCACCACTCTTCCAGCATCTGCCTTGCCCACCTGGGAGCCAGTCTCCCCAGAGAGATGTACACAACTAATTAGCATGCTATCAGGGGATAAATCCCCGGGGGAGGATATGATACCACCTGAGGTATTCTTATCGAACCAGTCGTGGTGGGCCCCTATCTTAGCATCTCTCTTTACCACCATTAATGCTACTCTTAAGATTCCACCTAACTGGAAACAGAGCATAGTCATCCCAATACATAAAAAGGGGGACCCACAAGATCCGCGTAACTACCGACCTATCAGCCTGTTGGACATATCATACAAGGTTTACTCTAGATTCTTGCTAGAGAAATTAATCGAGTGGGCAGAAGAAACAAAGCTATTCCATCCGGAACAGGCTGGCTTCCGTAAAGGTCACAGCACATCTGGCCAATGTCTTGTTCTACTTACCCTGATTGATAAATACCTAAACAGGTTCAACTGCAAACTACACGCGGCTTTTGTGGACCTGACCTCCGCCTTTGACTCCATTCCCAGAGATAGGCTATGGCAGAAGCTTAGTTACACCAACATAGATAAGAGACTCCTCCTCCTTCTTATGGAAATTCATAATGACATATCGGCCAGAGTAAAATTCGGCCCTCTGGGAGCTCTTTCTGATTCTTTCCCTCTGAATAAAGGGGTCAAACAGGGTTGCCTCTTGGCCCCTTTTCTATTCAATTTCTATATCAATGACATCGTTACAACTATGAAGGCCCTAAATCAATCTGCCCCCTCCTTACAACAGCTCAAGATCCCCATATTACTCTATGCGGACGACATGGTGATACTGTCATTAACCAAGCTGGGCTTAAACAACACGCTCAGAGGGCTCATGACATATTGTGATACCAACTCCCTTAAAATTAATTTCGCCAAAACCAAAATTCTTACTTTTGGCACGAAAACTCGGAAGTCACTCTGGAATTTTGAGGGCCATTCTATTGAATATTGTTCAGCATTCAAGTATTTGGGTATCATTTTTCAGCATGGGCTTAGCTGGTCAGCTCACCTAAATACAACCATCCTGGCTGCCCGCAGAACCATCAAAGCCTTGGAGAAATTCTACTATGCAAAAGGCGGCCAGCTGGTTCCACCAATCAGAAAAGCATTTATCAGCAAAGTCCTCCCGATGTTACTGTATGGGGTTGAAATCTGGGGGTGGAATTTAAAAACACTACAACGGCTGGAGATTCTACAAAACTCTTTTGCACGGAAGGTACTGGGTCTCCCCAAGGGCTCGGTTGCAGCACAGTTAAGAACAGAACTGGGCCTCCCCTCCATTGTTGCGAGAGCCCACATTAGAATTATTAGCTTTTATTGTAAATTAATCAATGCCCCAGGTTCCCTACTAGCCAGGCAAGCCTTTTTAACGTGTTCTCAAAGCAATAAATGGTCCAAGGCCATGGTGACTATTACTGCACGCTACTCTCTCCCAAATCTTGACTCGCTGTCCTCTTGGGACAAACATAAAATCCGGGCCTGGATTCTTACAAGAGACGAGGCCATGGACCGGGCACAGTCCACCTCAGCTCGCCTCTCCATGTGGCTCCCTAAAGTGAAAGTGGTAAGATCACTTGCCAACTACTTGATAGACCTGACGGAGCCCAATTTCAGAAGAGCGTTTACTATGGCCCGCTTCCATTCTATACCCACGGCCTTCCTGCAGGGGATTTACTCTAAGACCCCTATTACCCAGCGTCTATGTCCATGCACAATGAATGAAGTAGAGGACTTCATACATTTCTTTTTCTACTGCCCTATTTATGAGCCAATAAGATCTAAGCTCCTCCTTTTGATCCCGTCCACCATTACATCTAAGGAAGACTGTTTGGAAATCGCTTCTTGTGGACGCAAATCCCCAAATTTCACGTGGGGTGGCAATCTTCATAGTGCAGGCTCTGAAACTCAGGGCTACTCTGACAGGGTAGCGTGCCCTAGACCTGGACCTGTTTTAATTCTTTTATTACTTTTAACTCAATATGCTGAGTCTGTTCTGGGGCCATTTTGTGCTTTATATATATCCGCATATTAGTTTTTGGCGCTGGCTACTATATCTTTGCATTATTGTCTTGGGTAACTTAAATGTCACTACGCCAGCCAAAACACCTGAATTTTGCTTGGTTGCTTGTCTCTAGTTTGTCTTTTTTCTTTTTTGTATTGTCTTATTTTGCTATGGCAGTTTGCTAATGCAATAAAGGTTTGAAACGGTATATCTAACTCCCTGCGAAGAACAAATAATATCAACTGTTTACATAAAAAGCAAACAAATTACTATGAGAGAAGCAAAGGGTGACAAAGGAATGAGAGTGTATAAAAGCATACGCTGTGTAGGGTTCTTAATAAATTAAGAATGCTTAATTAACCCTTCATTGCATAGTAAAAATGCATTATACAACAGAGATTTTAAGTCAGATATAAACATGTTTCAGATGTTACTAAAGGTAAAGGACCCCTGGCCGTTGAAGTCCAGTTGCGAACGACTCTGGGGTTGCAACGCTCATCTCGCTTTACTGGCCAAGGGAGCCAGTGTTTGTCCGCAGACAGTTTTTCCAGGTCACGTGGCCAGCATGACTAAGCATCTTCTGGCAAAACCAGAGCAGAGCACAGAAACACCGTTTACCTTCACACCAGAGCGCTACCTATTTATCTACTTGCACTTTTACGTGCTTTCGAACTGCTAGGTTGGCAGGAGCAGGGACCGAACAACTGGAGCTCACCCCGTTGCAGGGATTCGAACTGCCAACCTTCTGATCTGCAAGCCTAAAATGCTCAGTGGTTTGTACCACAGCGTCACCCATGTCCCTCAGATGTCACTAATGAGTACCAAATGCAATATTTAGTTTATTATCATTAGTATAAGATTTCTCCCAAAATGCATTAGCGTAGCTGGCAAACTTGGAAATTCTTTTTAAAAACACTTTAAAAACTGGACTCATCCAGATACTTTAATAACCCTCCTCTGCTCAGAAGACAAAACCATCAAGGACCACTATCTTAGGCCAAACACAAATATGAATTTTTAACAGACTGCAGCCCATGGTTGATATGGTTTTCCTACTTTATACTGTATCTCTAAAGTGATTTTAAACAGCATTACAGTCTTCTTCTTTTTTGACATAACATGCAAATGTTCAGAGACTTTTTAATTTCAGTATTTGATATTTGTTAGTATGTTAAATTTAAGACTCGTTTACACAACATGTTTTTCTCCATAAGAACAGTGGAGTGAACCCGTGCATGTAGGAAAATAACTTGTTAGCCACCATTTCACAGATAAGTCTTTAGCTAAGATTCCTGCATTGCAGGGGTTGGACTAGATGACCCATGGGGTCCCTTCCAACTTTACAACTTATGATTCTAAGTCACCTTCTGTAATAAAAAACACCTCATGATTGCAGAAATAGCTGCTGATCCATTAGCTCTTATATTCATTTTCCACATCCAAGTCTACAGCCCCCCCAAAGTATTAAAAATTGAGACCAAGGGGAGAAATCCATTTTGTTAGGTAGCCCAACATTTCCCAGTCTTCTAAGGCAATCTACCGATGAAACATTAACTTGTTTATACTTGAACATTTCCGTGTGTGTTGTAGAACTGAAAATAACAGAAGCCTCGCGCTAAATCAGACTGAGACCTTGTGGCTCTCACGTGCTTCATTCTCTTTTCCACCCATCCCGTCCCAAATACTTACACAAAAGTAAATATATGCTAGCATCCCCCCCCCAATTTCATATTCAGAATCTGTTGCAAAATAAATTCCTTTGGCTCTTCAGGGACGAAGGTTTCCTAGGGCTACATCTTGGGACCCTGCCGTCTTGTGCTATGTGTCCAACCAAGCAGCGGACATTAGAAGAGACTCTAGAGAATATTAGCTGTGGTGGAGACCTGGCAGATAAAGGATCATAGGCCAAGGGAAGCACTGCAGAAAGGTATGTTGGAGCTGGGTGAAAGCACGAAACCACAATACATATTGTGGCTAAGAATATGAGCTGTGAACAGGCCAGTTTCAGATCACAAACTCGCTAGATTACTTTAAGCCACCCACTCTCAGCCCCCGTTTGAGGATTATAATAGTGTCCTGTCTTACCGAAGCCTTGTACGGGATTACTAAGGCTTAAAATGTTTTGCATTATTCATATATCCTGCCTCTCTCAATGTGGCTTACAAAACACAATACAGGAGCGGAAGAGAACATGGCACCCAAATGGGGTGGGATCAGGATTGTTCAGAGAGAACTTCCTCTCCTTGTCCTTGTTCCTCGCTGGTGATACACCTGGCGGCAGCAGCTCCCTCCCAACTCTTCTTAGGCAAGGGGGAAGGGCTGAGCAGTTGGATCTCGTTCCGCTTGATGAAGTAGCCTTCCAATGCTGGCAGATGGCAGGTAGCAGGGCTTAAAAGTGATTATTATTAGTATTTACATTTGGAGTGTCCTTTACTCTACATTACCCCTCACTTATTCCACAGGTGGTTTTAGGGCACATCAAGGCAGCAATGGCATACCAGTGAGCTCTAATAGGAAAGCAATGAACTAACACTTAAGGGGGGGGAAATGCGTATGTCCTAAGAGGTCCATGCTTAAACATAAGCATGAACTCCAACCCACACCTTCCAAGATTTCAGTACTGTAGATTAAAATGTGCCAGATAATTTCACTACTATTTACCTCTAAGATTAATATTTCTAGAAAGACTGGTACAATTTTGTCCTCATCACACACTTATTTGTTGGTGCTTCCAATATGGACTGGGACTATTATGTTTGCCCATTTGTGGATTACAGGAATAAATAAAGCCAGCGATCCAATAATTGAAACCAGAAGGAATGTCCATAAGAACACACGATCAAGCACCTGAGCTATAAATTTCCAGTCTTCAACAACCTAGAGAGAGAAGAAAGAAAATCAGTACCTTTTCTGAAATACACTCCAGAATATTTGTATACACACTACAACTAAAGAGTAATAATAATGGCACAAACCCTACTGTCTCTCTTATCGGGCTAGGTGCAAAATTAAATTGACCCAAACATAACTTATTGTGGCTCCTATTGTGGGAACAATGAAATGGCTGTTCCTAAGGAGTAGCCACATATGGTTTAAAATGGGGCAGGGAGCCTATTTGTTGCACCACAAAGGCATAACATTTTAAATAAGGATTTCTGCAATATCTCTGAAAGTGTCCATTTTCACCTTTGAAATTATTCTCATGCAAAAGTTGCTTAGTTACTTCTATTAGAGATCATGCTGTCTGAAAATATGAGATATCTACAGTGCAGGATATATTTGACATGAGCAGGCAAGGATTTTACTTATGATTAACTCCACAACTGCACGTGCTGCTGTCCCAGACTGCCAGCCTCAAGAGTTGACTGCAACGTTAACTAATACACACACCTCACGTACTTCGTTCTCCTTGACAATGTGCCTTGTAATATATCGGATAGAATTTAGGGCGGCTTCCAGGGTAATCCGAGATGCCTCAGCACCATCCGCATTGTTGGCATCCCCCTCCTGAGTGAAATACCTGTCGACGTGGCTTCTCATACAAAGCAGTTTTGGAAGTTTGTGAAGGAATATCCTGCGGACCCAAGGTGCCATTGCATCGTGCGTAGACGAGGACCGATGGTGAACGTTAATAGCAAAGACAGTTATTACAATGGATAATGTAACAAATATCATCGTGAATACCAAGTACTCGCCGATAAGAGGTATAACTTTGGAAGATGACGGTATGATCTCTTCAATGACAAGCAGAAAGACCGTTAAGGAAACCAGAACTGATGTGCACAAAGAAATTTTCTCACCTTCATAAGACGGAAGGTAAAAGACAAGGACGGTTAAGAAGGACAACCCTATGCAGGGAATAATAAGGAACAGTGTGTAAAAGAGAGGCAAGCGTCTAATTATAAATGAGTAGGTAATAAATGGATACCAGCAACACCCATCAGTTCTGTTCCCTCTGATTCCTGTTGCCATTACTATTTCCCATTCTCCATTATCAAAGAAATCTCTCTTGTCTACTTCATCATCCACTAGAATTATGTCAACTTGTGAGCCATCATACGTCCAGGATCCAAACTTCATGGAGCAGTTCTGGCGGTCAAATGGAAAGTAAGTGACATCTATGGTACAGGAACTTTTGTAATTTGCTGGAGGAGTCCAAGCAATTGTGCCATCATGTTTCACTACTGTTTTTGTAGATGTCCCTTCAAAACGACCATCTGCACTGAAAAAATGTTCAATGAAAAGTTATTTAAAAATGTAACACGCTGAAGTTATTTTCCTCAAACATTTTACTTGGTTATTTTCAGATGTTTATGTGACGCTCTTAACAGTGGCACCCAGTACAGAATGAGGTCAAAATAAATGGTTTTTTGTATTTTGTTTGAAAACAACAAACAATGCACACTAACAATCTAGCAAGACTATCGTTACCTTGAAGCCGTCGCTCTTGTGCTGGGAAGAGAACTGACGGGAAAGGCAGGAGAAATACCCTTTGATGTGGGCAAATGGGGAATGGAGACAGGGAGCCACCCAAAACTCTAGCTCAAGAACCCATACACATTCAGAGACTGCAAAGAAGGAATGGTTCTTATATTTGGTTTGAAATCAACAAGCAAGGCATTTGCTGTATTAAAAGTGGTCTGCTAAAAGGGCTTTCTGCAAGCTAGAGATTTGTTTGAAGAACGATTTCACCCATTCTTTGTCTGTAATATATTTAATTGATTTATACCAAGTTATGCTGAAGGTTATGGATGTCAAGATCCATAATAAAGGTCTTTTATTCTTTCCTGCAAATTCATGTAGGAGTTAGTTCTAGGGCTCTAAGCGGCCTGATCAGTCCTGAGACTACTTTGGAGGGCCCCATCTGCTATGGCCGCTAAGGTCACACGCAAAGCTCTGCAGTTTATATGTGGCAGCCTTTCCAGCACACAGAGGAAAGCTGAGCTCCAAAACTTTCTGAAGATACCTCTTTCAAGGAGTGACTCCTTCCTCAGCTTAAACCTGTAGTAAGTGCCTGAGGGCCCCGCTCCTGCCACTCACCACCTGGCCCAGGGCGGGGCCTGACAGGCCTCATAAGGACAGTTGCTGCTACTGCTGCTGCTGTCCAGGAGGACTCGGAGGGGTGCAGAGTTCTTTTTAAAATGTTTTAAAATTTTCTTTTTCCTTTTTGAATTTTTTGTATGTGGGGGTGGGGGGGGTGTTTGGTTGGGCTTGGGAATTTGTTTGATTTTGATGTATTTGTAATTTTTACAGTTTTTTGTTTGTATTGTTTTATTGTGGTTTGTTTGGGGGTTTTTAAGGGGGTTTTTTTTGTTCTTAAGGGGAGGGGTCAGGGCTGCCAGGGAGTGGGTCCCACAGGGGGGCGGGATGCACTGGGACAACCAATCTCAGTGATCATGGGTAGGAGGAGTTATGCTAAGACCAGACCATGTCATTACCGAGGAGGCAGGTTTAGTTGTTGTCTGAGGACTCCGGGTCTGGGTCCTGACCAGACAGATACTGGAATCAGCAAGGGAAACCCACATGACCTGAAAGTGTTGCTGTGCAATGCCAGGTCAATGATTCATAAGTCCACTGCCATCCATGACTTGATCATGGATGGAGGACTTGACCTGGCATGTGTGACAGAGACTTGGTTGGATGAAGCAGATGGGCCCGTCCTTGCCGCTGCTTGTCCACCAGGTTTCTCTTACGCACAGCAACCCAGGTCATGTGGGTGGGGAGGGGGGGTTGCAGTGATTTTTAGGAAGTCATTAGTTTGCACCAGGTGTCCTATTGGAAAAACCCAGTTCTCTGAGTGCATGTTCTGGAAGTTGGGCAATAGGGGCAGTACAGGATTCCTTTTGGTGTACCGACCTCCCCGCTGCACTAGGGATTCCCTGCCCAAGCTGCTTCAGGTCATGGCAGATGTTCTCCTGGAGACACCTAGCTTGGTTGTCCTGGGGGATTTTAACATCCATGCCAACACAACCTTACAAGGGGCTGCTTGGGACTTCGTGGGAAACATGGCCTCCATGGGGCTGTCCCTTGGCCCAACTCATAGCCGCGGACATGCCTTAGACCTGGTGTTCACCTCTATGGATGTTGGTGATCTGACATTAAGTAAAGGTGAAACAAAAGAAGTGCCATGGTCAGATCACTTCCTGGTGCAACTGGACTTCTCCGCGACCCTTCCCCTCTGCAGGGAGGGGGGACCGATTTGGATGGTCCGCCCCCACCACTTAATGGATCCAAATGGTTTCCAGGGAGTGGTAGGGGATGTTTTATCCCATGTTGATGGTTTCCAGGGAGTGGTAGGGGATGTTTTATCCCATATTGATGGCCTTTCAGCTGATTCTCTGGTGACCCGCTGGAATACGGAGTTAACCAGGGCTATTGACTGTCTGGCTCCGAAGTGCCCTCTCCAATTGCATGGAGCCCGGACAGCCCCGTGGTTTTCCACAGATCTGAGTGCAATGAAACAATCGTTGAGATGGCTAGAGCGCCGGTGGCGGATAACTGATTCTGAAGCTGACCAGACATGGGTTAGAGCTCAATGTCGAGCCTATCAAATGGCGGTAGCGGCGGCGAAGAAGACTTTCTTCACCGCCTCTATTGCATCTGCAGAAAACAGCAGCAGGAGACTTTTTCAGGTGGTTTGCAATTTAGCAGAACCACCTGCTACATCAGTGCCCAGTACGGGCCACATGATCTCCTGCAATGATTTTGCAAAGTTTTTTGCAGATAAAGTCGCTCAGATTCGGGAAGAGGTAGACTCCACCGTGGGAGCAGGGCCGGGGCGGGAGAGTGCTAGAGTCCTGTCTAGTCAAGTTGTGTTGGATCAATTCCAATCTGTTACCTCCAAGGATGTAGACAGGCTGCTTGGACGAGTCAAACCAACCACCTGTCTCCTTGATCCTTGCCCATCCTGGCTTATAAAAGCTAGCCGAGAAGGGCTGGGTGATGGGATTCGCGGGGTGGTGAATGCTTCTCTCTGTAAGGGAGCCTTCCCAGACCCGCTGAAAGAGGCGGTTATCAAACCGCTTTTTAAAAAACCATCTTTAGATGCTGCCAATATGGCCAACTATTGCCCAAATCTTCCATTCTTGGGCAAGGTGATTGAGCGAGTGGTTGCTGAACAACTCCAGGCACGCCTGGAAGAAGCGGACCATTTGGATCCCTTCCAGTTGGGATTCAGGCCTCATCATGGGACTGAAACTGCCTTGGTCGCACTGGTCGATGATCTCCGGCGGGCTAGGGACAAAGGTGAGAGCTGTTTCCTAGTTCTGCTGGATCTCTCAGCAGCTGTTGACACCATTAACCATAACATCCTTCTGGACCATCTAGAGGGGCTGGGAGCTGGGGGCACTGTTACACGGTGGTTCCGCTCCTTCCTCCTGGGTTGTGTTCAGAAAGTGGTGGTGGGGGATGAGTGTTCAGACCCCTGGGCTCTCACTTGTGGGGTGCCTCAGGGTTCCGTCCTCTCCCCCATGCTTTTCAACATCTACATGCAGCCGCTGGGAGAGATCATCAGGGGGTTTGGGCTGGGTATTCATCAGTATATGCGGATGATACCCAGCTCTACCTCTCTTTCAAATCGGAACCAGTGAAGGAGGTGAAGGTCCTGTGTGTGTGTCTGGAGGCGGTTGGAGGATGGGTGGCGGCTAACAGATTGAGGTTGAATCCTGACAAGACAGAAGTACTGTTTTTGGGGGAAAGGAGGCAGGCAGGTGTGGAAGACTCCCTGGTCCTGAATGGGGTAACTGTGCCCCTGAAGGTGAGCAGCCTGGGAGTCACTCTAGACTCACAGCTGTCCATGGAGGCACGGGTCAATTCTGTGTCCAGGGCGGCTGCCTACCAGCTCCATCTGGTACGCAGACTGAGACCCTACCTGCCTGCGGACTGTCTCGCCAGAGTGGTGCATGCTCTGGTTATCTCCTGCTTGGACTACTGCAATGTGCTCTGTGTGGGGCTACCTTTGAAGGTGACCCGGAAGGTACAACTAATCCAGAATGCGGCAGCTAGACTGGTGACTGGGAGCAGCCGCCGAGACCATATAACACCAGTCTTGAAAGACCTACACTGGCTCCCAGTACATATCCGAGCACAATTCGAAGTGTAGGTGCTGACCTTGAAAGCCCTCGGTCCTCGGTCCAGTATACCTGAAGGAGCGTCTCCACCTCCATCGTTCTGCCCGGACACTGAGGTCCAGCGCCGAGGGCTTTCTGGCGGTTCCCTCACTGCAAGAAGCCAAGTTACAGGGAACCAGGCAGAGGGCCTTCTTGGCAGTGGCACCTGCCCTGTGGAACGCCCTCCCACCAGTTGTCAAAGAGAAAAATAACTATCAAACTTTTAGAAGACATCTAAAGGCAGCCCTCTTTAGGGAAGCTTTTAATGTTTAATAGGTTGTTGTATTTTAGTGTTTTGTTGGAAGCCACCCAGAGTGGCTGGGGGACCCAGCCAGATGGGCGGGGTATAAATAATAAATTATTATTATTATTATTATTATTATTATTATTATTACAACTACTGTTCTGCTTGCATTTCACTATCTCTTATAACACTCCGCTTTTGCTCTTACAAAATGAATGGCTAAAGGGTCCCTTTTACTTTTTACTTCTTTTATCTAACAAAGACCATGAGGCTGCCATTTAGTGAGATGCGAATCACTCAGGTAGTGTTCTGTGGAATGTCTCTTTCACCACACAGCACACATAACTGAAGAAAATACATCTCTCCAGCAAACATAATATATTTCATGGTTTGAAACTATTACTCTCATTTGAAAATTCTGCATGAATGCCATGCTATCGTGCCAAATATATCATTTCAGAAAAAAAGATGCTCTCAACTCTAGCAATTTCAAAATACAACTTATTCAAGTTATTTCTCTCTTTAATTTTTGCAACAGTAATAATTGTGTTAAAAACATTAAATACTTACTTGTCATACAAAACAATATCTGGGATCCATATAGAATCTGAAGGGACACGGATAGATGTTATTCCAGCATAATCTTTAGGGTCCCACTTCAGTTTTACATCAATCCATTCCTACAAAGAGAGTAAAGATAGTATTAATTGATAATCTAATTTATTTACTTTACAGTGCAATTATATACAGGTCTATTCAGAAATAAGCACCACTGAATTCAACGGGATTTATTTGCAGAATAGTGTGCATAGGATTTCATCACCGCTGTAGCAACCTGGTTATTTGAGTTTACACTGAATAATACACCTCAGTTGCAACCAAACGGTATAAATCAACATCCCTCCCAACATCATGGTTACAGTCCAAACTTTTTCCTAATATACTGCTCACCTGCTTCAACCAAACATTTGTTGTCATCAGTTGATTTTTCTCATCCTATTGAGAGAAAAAAGCATTTTATATGAATGACAGTACACTTCTCTCACTTCCAGACAGTGGTCAATTAACATATGGCATATATTCTACAGCTCTCACCAGGGCAGGCTCCAGGATGACACCTGAATTTCCCAAAATGCCCCAGACTAACGCTATGTTTGGTTGCTCTGGGGCATTGGAGGAACTTTAATCTATTTATTATTGGCTGGAAAGTTTTCTTTCCTTTTCAAAAACTTTTTTTAATTTTTCAACACAAGAGTGTGGAAAGTCATCAGATCAGCACATAAATACTTGTACACTAATAATTCACAATTCTTGATACAGGCGCTAGGTTTTAATCCTATCATACTAACATATTACAATTCTACATAGGTTTATTAAACTAACATATATTAGGACCAAGGATTTTTTTTTAGGTGCAGGTAAGAAGATTGTGCAAGGTCAAACATAGATAAAAGTCCCAATTGTTTACTGAGTTCTTACCCTTTGTGCATTCACATGAATCTCGTGGGCTATCTTTTCAGCAGTTGTGAGGTTCAGTAAGTTTTTATACCACAACTCGAGAGACATATCATTTAAGTTATTCCGTTTTTGTGCAAAAGAAAGTCTGGCAGCTACAAGAAATCAAGTTAGCAGTTCCTTTGAAGATAATTGTTTGAGAGAATCATCTCATACAGTGCTATTTTTCTTTTTAAAAAAGAGGTGCCGGAACTCTCCCACTTCTGTCTACACACAGAGGCCTCAGATACATGACAGAATAAGCAAGCTCCTCTTAAACCAGGGCTGGATTGTGACCATGCCTCTCACTTGCTGCACAGGCTCTTGCACAGCTTCTCCTCTCCTGCGCAGCTCAAAGAAGCCATACTATTGCTTGACATGTCTTCCAAACCCAGGCTCACCAAGCGGTAAGTCAGAAATAACCTGAGAATGAATGCTGGCTTATTTGTCGCTTACAGCTCATTGTTTATTTGAAACAAATAAACCATTGACTGGATTTAGACAACACAACAAGGCATAGTATGGCTTGTATGAGCTACAAGAGGACACAATAAGCAAAAGGCATATTCATGATTAAACTATGCTTTAAAGCAAACTCTGGCTTTTTATAACATGCAAGCCAGGCCTGTGTGAACAGATAGCATATGAATGCATGGTTCCTTCCTCCTATCCTCTCAACAGCAAGTGACCAATAACAGACGTACAACTTTTGCAACCCCAACACCCTGTGTGGAGTTATGCCATCCTCTTTATGAGGAGAAGAGGCTCTGTGAAAAAGCCAGGGATGCTGTTCAGACGATGCGCTTCTGACAAGCAACTACTTTACGCTGCTATGCCTATTTAAAGAGCAAGCAGCAGAAGTTTCCAACGTACCACATCCACTAACTGGGAAATTGCAAGGCCAAACTTGACTTTGATTGTGTCGTTCAGACGCTCTACTGGGCGAACCCATCTTTCATAATCTTCAAATAAGTATTTAAACAGACGGTCTTCACTTTTAGCAATAAAGGAAGGTTCAGACATACCTGTACAGATGGAAAAGAGGTAACACAAACATTACAATTCTCCTACTTTGTATACAGATGGCAACCATTTTGCACGTGCTCGATTGGCACGTGACCACGGACGTGCGCGCCGTTTTGGCCCTGGAAAGGGGTGGAACGGGGTAGGCTTACACCCGCTCCACTGACACACACGATGACATGGAACACAACCCGTGTAAATGGGGAATTGCCTGTATAGGAGGAAAGAAGAAGCAACAATTTATGCTTTTTCAAATTTGACTTATGACTTAATACAAGTAAGGTAAAAATGGGCATGATAGTCATGTCGGTTTGCATTTCTTGGTGCAGAAAGTATTGATCTAATGTGTAGAGATCTTTCCTATTCAAATTCATTCAATAGGTTTCTGGAAGCTTCTCTGTGTGAAAGTAGCTTCATGATGTTTGGGTTATACCTTCAGAGAAGTTAAGTACAGCTGACTTAAACTGGTTCTCTTATCTCTTTCTGTTAAGGTCATGCTGATATAGGCCAGAAGGAGCATGGGTCTTTCTTACTTTCTATCTCTCTTCCTTCTGGTGTGGTGCTCTGTACATAGCATGCTTAGCGTTATGGTTTAATCTTGTTAGTTTTTGTAAGTGCTGCAACTGGATTGTTTATGGAATGTGCCAATCCTGAATGTATTGGATTTGTGACCATTATGCTCATCTGCCTTCAGTAGCAGTAAAGATCTGTTGGGTGAAATACAATTGCCTCTGGTCTATTTTTTGGGAACTCTGCATCGTGTTTAAGTTTTTCCTTCTCCAGAGAAGGCGCAACAATTCAGTGGATGAGAAGGGCAAGTACAGGCAATCTCCCATTTACGTGGGAGTTCCGTAAGAAGGGTATTTACAGCTTGGGAAGTGTATTGCATTTGTGGCCACAGATTATGACCCCACATACCCTGTTAACCATCCTGTGGGCTGTTTCATTCTCCTCCATGTAAATCACACTGCAAGGAAAAGTAACACTTTGCTAACTATAGTTTGGAGGTGTGGGTTGACACCTCCCAGTTTGCATGGACATTCGCTCTCTCTTTCGGTTTTGGATGTAGCTATGGTCAGCCTTATGGAGGCAGTAGTGTTTTTGCTAACCACAGTTAGCGCCAAAGAAAAATTCGCAACCATAGTTAGAAGTGGACTTGATACAGCTGACTTTGATTAATGCTAACATTGGTTCAAGTGTTACCCCTGTAAATAACAGCTGTTCTGTCATGAAAATACTTTACTCTCACTTCAACCATTTGAATTTCACACATTATCAGTTTTTGTCTATGATACTCCAAAGTCTGTACTACACACCATTCATTGAAATACACCTGGAAAAACTGAGAGAAAACAGAGAAATCCACGCTATTGTTTGTATAGTCGTACCTTGGATCCCAAACGCCTTGGTACTCGGACGTATTATCTCCCGAAAGCTGCAAACCCAGAAGTGAGTGTTCTGGTTTGAGAACGTTCTTTGGAACCCGAACGTCTGACGTGGCTTCCGCTCGGCTACAGGAGCTTTGGTTTCTGAACGTTTTCAAAGTCGAATGGACTTCCGGAACGGATTCCGTTCAACTTTCAAGGTAACACTGTATATAAATCTGATAGTTTCCATGAAATATTAGCTTCTTCACCACTGCCACCACCCCGGCTGAAAAATCACGTTATGCAACCTGGAGCAATTTGAGAAAGCCAACAGCAGTAGTAGATGCAGAAATTGTGAGTGCTGACACCACAATATTCTGCTAAATTTGGCTCAAATCCTAAATTTACCACAGTGTTCAAAAAGCTATAAAACTTTGATGCTGAAAACAGAATTTATAGGTAAACATCAGCAGAGGCTACCTCAGATGCCAAGGAGATAAAGAATTACACAACTTTTAGAAGACATCTGAATGCAGCCCTAGATTGGGAATTTTTTTATGCTGATGTTTTATTGTGTTTCTATATGCATTAGAGGCCTTCCAGAGTAGCTGGGGTGGCCCAACCAGATGGGCAGGGTATAAATGATAAAATAACAACAACAACATCTTGCAAGCTTAGCAATGAACCAGTGGGAAATATAAATTGTACCTGGTTGTTACAAGGAATGCAACTGGGTTGTATATTTATGCCTTTTTTAAATTAAAAAATCTTATTAATTTCTCTTTCTCTCTCTCTCTCTCTCACACACACACACACACAATCTTAACATGTTTTAACATAAAATGTAAATTGTTTCTCTGGTGACTTCCCCTCCTCCCTTTCCATGGTTTCCATATTTACCCTGACACGCTGCATCTTTCATCCATAAAGGTAAAGGTAAAGGTACCCCTGCCCGTATGGGCCAGTCTTGCCAGACTCTAGGGTTGTGCGCTCATCTCACTCTATAGGCCGGGAGCCAGTGCTGTCCGCAGACACTTCCGGGTCACGTGGCCAGCGTGACATCGCTGCTCTGGCAGGCCAGCGCAGCACACGGAACGCCGTTTACCTTCCCGCTGGTAAGCGGTCCCTATTTATCTACTTGCACCCGAGGGTGCTTTCGAACTGCTAGGTTGGCAGGCGCTGGGACCGAACAACGGGAGCGCACCCCGCCGCAGGGATTCGAACCGCCAACCTTTCGATCGGCAAGTCCTAGGTGCTGAGGCTTTAACCCACAGCGCCACCTGCGTCCCCTTTCATCCATAGTCCTCCTATATTATTCAATACGCTTTCCTTCCCCTCTGTGCAGTGGCAATCTCAGATTAAGAGCTTAACAGAGCAGAGAAATGTTCCCTTCTGAATTATTTGGAAAGCAGTTGGCATTTTGTAGACATTAATGTAAGGACAATTATTCAAGTTGTGGCCTTGCAAGCTGTCTGGCAATAGCAATAATGCTGCGGTCAGCTGTCATACAGGCAAGCTTTAGAAAGGTCCCCTTGTGAAAGAGGTGCTGAAATCATGCCTAAGTTTTAGTAAACACACTGATCCAGTGCATGCTGACTCAGATGTATTCATAGGGAATTCATAGGGAATTCAGTGCATGGGATTAAACCCCAAAATGACATACATACATACATACATACATACATACGAACATTTTTATACCAAGCTGTTGAGTTTTAATCAGAGCGCCCAGAAGGCAATTGTTATGGGGGCAAAGAGGTCAAAGGAGACAATATGAAAAAAGAAAGAAGGATGCAAAGGAAGATGGCTGTAAGGTATTCCTATTATAGCCACACATAGTTTGTTTATTTTGTGAAGTTTATGAATGCAAATTGACATTTTATGTAAATGTATATGCAAATTAGGGACAACCTTGAGGCTCCTAGAGAGTTGCAAAATCAAGTCTCCAATGCAGCAAGGCCTGCGTGCAGGTACATAATCTGTTATAGCTGCACTGTACTGTAAACAACTATTTTCCAGGCCAGCTACACAGAATTGTATTGCCACACAGCTCCACTGGCTTTCACAGTGATCATTGCCAACATATCCATATTAGCATTCTCATTTGGGGAGTTACATAAGCACTCCTCTTGCTCTAATTTCTCTGTAGCCTACTGGAAAATTTGCATTATTAGAAGTAGAGCGTAAGACAATCAAAGGAAAACCACAGGAGAAAAGCTTTCATATTTGAAACTAGCAGCTGCATCTCCTTTCTCAAAAACGTTTAATACTCTTGCTTGAGGATAAACATCTGCAGAGAACCATAATCACTTATGGTTTAATCAAAGACTTTGTAAACCGCATTTCAGAGCCAGTTATATATGAGGCAGTTCTGCAGTCTTGCAACAAGGATTATGTGCACATTCCTTTTTAATCTTAACTGGCACACACACCAATCCAATGCCAGTTTAAAGCAATTCCTTACAAATGGAATTTCCGGCAGAGTTCTCTGTGATGTTCTAGTACAGTGGTACCTTGGTTCTCAAACGCCTTGGTACTCAAACAACTTGGAACCCAAACACTGCAAACCCAGAAGTTAGTGTTTTGCAGACTTTTTTTGGAAGCCGAAGGTGCTCCGTTTTGAGTCTTATGCTTCCGATTTGAGTGCCACACTGAGGTCTGTTTTTGCTATTTTGTGCTTTTGCGGCTTTTTTGTTTTGTTTTTGTGACTGTGTAGAACCCAGTTCAGCTACTGATTGATTGTGTGACTACAGTACATTGTTTATTGCTTTCATTTTATGGATCAATGGTCTTGTAAAAGACCATGTTAAATTCATGCTAAATTGCTGTTTTAGGGGTTTTTTTAAAAGTCTGGAACAGATTAATCCATTTTGCATTACTTTCTATGGGAAAGCACGCCTTGGTTTTGGAACGGACTTCCGGAATGGATTAAGTTTGAGAACCAATGTACAACTGTATGTTCTACTGAGTTCATCTGGGCTTATGCTGAGATTGCAACCTCATTTTAACAGCCTTCCTGTCCCCAAATGTGATAAACCACTTTTATCGAGTGGAAAACACCATGCAAACTAGTTCATTATCCAATGCACAGTGGGACTGAGTTTGACAATACCTATGGCTAAGGTTGTACTCATGGTTAACAGGGATTGGGGCCTAAATCCAGTATTCAGGCCATAGGACCTCAGCACCTCTCAGCTCAGCGAGAAGCAGAAAACTCCCACCTGTTGCCTCATAGCTACAGAATTAGGTTGAAATCCTATACACAGGTATTCCTGAGAAAGTCCCATCTGCTGGTCTTAACACCCAAGAGGGTCAAGTCTGTATGGAAAGGCGTGTTTTTTCAAATATTAAGTCATTTAGGGCGGCTTCATTTTGGACCAATGGAAGTTTCTAGGTTCTCTTCAAGAGCAGCCCATATGCAGCACACTAGTAAATTTCAGATTGGATTACTGCAGAGTATGACTATAGTGGCCAGGTCATCTCTATCAAAAGGGGGGGGGGCATTACTGGCAAACCAGACAAAGCTTGAAATGGGCCTGCCCAGCCTCTGACAATGATGAATCCAGAAGCCACCCCAGTCCACGGAGCTGCTCCTTCCAGGGGAGCAAAACCAGCCAGAACAGGCAGTCTCCCCACTTCCTAGACTCAAGAGCTGGAAGGCAGAGCACCCCGTCTTTTCAGGATTCAGCTTCCGTTACTGGTGCACATCCAGCCCATCTCCGTCTCCAAGCACCAGTCTAGCTCAACTGTCTCTCCCGATTCATATGGAACAGAAAGACAAAGGCAAACAAACCAGATTTATACTATTGTTGTAACTGATGTCATGAAACAGAAGTTTGACTAGAAGCATCACTGCATTTCTTCCATTGCAATATTCAGTCTCCCATCTTTGCATTTTTTAAAATTAAAATGTTAAAATGCTCAACTTGATGTTCTCAATATTTTTCTTCTTCACATCACACCAAGCATTAAAACTGAACAAAAGTTTTGAGACAGTATTTTCGTACCACGTCACACAGAAAGGAAGCTTAAATACTGCATTTCCGCAATTTAGCTACTTCATTTGCATGCATACTTTATTTTTCTTTTTATTTATTAAATGCCTTTCCCATCTACTTGGCAAGAATACCTGGCAGTCCAAATACATTCAATAAAACAAAATTTTTACCATGCTGGAATCTACAGGATTCTATAGCCAGTCTTTCCACTGTAATCCTAATGCTTTCGGTTTTTGAGTACATTTTTGTTTTGCTTTATTGTGCATTTCTAAACTAACTTCTGTTCTACTTATTTCTGGAAGGTTAGTTATTTAGAGATCCATTCTGTGAACATCCTGAAGAAGATTCCCATGCCCCACATAAATGTATAGGAAGCAGCATCAGAACAGTGGCAGCAAAATGTGCATAAGGAACCAAGAAAGTATGTCAAATCTACCATTATGATTGTGCAAGATGGGCAAAAAGCAATATGCTTATAAGAACAAATTTGCTTGGTTGTGTTTAAGAAGGTAAAGGAAGGGACATAAATATGTATGAGAGCAGAGAATGATCAATATATAAACATATATTAATAAAATAGGTAAGAGGGATTATGTATGAATAAAAACCAGAATGAAGTGTAGTCACAGCATCATCAGTGTTTTCTGCAGAACAGAATTGCAAATCTGCTTCCACATTGTCTCCCTAGGATTACAATGCCAATGTTCAAAGCCCTCAATTGTCCTTCAAATAAGCCTTAAATCATCAGAAATCTCTCCAAAGCAAGGAAACATTCAGCATATAACATGTCACAAGCCTGTATCCACTTAAATGCCTGCAGGATTCTCATCCCCAACCAAAACAACCACCTTCAACTATTAGTTTTAAATTCCAGTATCCAATATCATCCCTTTGTAAAGACAAAAAACAGACTTCTGCATCTTTTCTGGACAGCCCACTGTAAAAGTTAGCCTAGAAAAGTCAGAATGACAAGTCTTTGCAGGGCAATTGCCCTGCCCAAAATGGGGGTGGGGGCAGTTATGGATAGGGAAAAGTCAAATGTTGTTGTTGTTTAGTCGTTTAGTTGTGTCCGCCTCTTCGTGACCCCCTGGACCAGAGCACGCCAGGCCCTCCTGTCTTCCACTGCCTCCCGCAGTTTGGTCAAACTCATGCTGGTAGCTTCGAAAACACTGTCCCACCATCTCATCCTCTGTCGTCCCCTTCTCCTTGTGCCCTCCATCTTTCCCAACGTCAGGGTCTTTTCCAGGGAGTCTTCTCTTCTCATGAGGTGGCCAAAGTCTTGGAGCCTCAGCTTCAGGATCTGTCCTTCCAGTGAGCACTCAGAGCTGATTTCCTTCAGAATGGATAAGTCTGATCTTTTTTGCAGTCCATGGGACTCTCAAGAGTCTCCTCCAGCACCAGAATTCAAAAGCATCCATTCTTCGGCGATCAGCCTTCTTTATGATCCAGCTCTCACTTCCATACATCACTACTGGGAAAACCACGGCTTTAACTATACAGACCTTTGTCAAATACTCCCCTGCTAAAATCCTACTTTATCATAAGTCTGAGCAAAATAACCCATGAGGATTGCTTGAATTATATGAAACTGTACAAAATGCTCTTCCTTCCCTCTCACAAGTTAGCAACCAATTTACGGCAGTTATGTGCATATTGACCCAGAAGCCTTTTAAAAATATAATTGGACCAACAAAGATCTCTGCATTTTTGTCCTAATTCCAAGGCATATGAATGCTGCCAACCCATTGCTGACTCTAGCCACTTACTTGGGAGCAAGGAGCAATTGATCTCAACGCGGTTTTCTTCTGAGTAGACATAAAGAGAAATACCCTTACCTGGGATTCAATCCTTTGGAAAGCCAGGATGGCTTCCTCCCCAGTGGACAAATATTGGACGAGGCTATTCAGCCCCGATTACGGTGCCCACTTGTTCCAGTACTATCCCGCAAAACAGAAACACGCATTTACATAAAAGTTACGGTACTTTATCCGTTTTTAGTATTACCACGGGCTCTGAACTCACCCCCCCCCCCGCGAGGGCACCACTGGGCACCACTATATCCCGCGGGGGGAGAGCGGTCTGCACCCAAAAGAGCCCAGGGTCCGGCGGCACCTGGGAGGCGGAAGGGATTCCCCGGTCCCGCCCGCCCGCTGGATGGATCGCTCTGCGAGGAAGATCATCGCCCACCCGAGGGCCGGCGGCCCCAGTCCTCACGCGTCCCCGCCGGCCCCGCTGGGGTCCCGCTTACCCGGGGAAGGCGCTCCGCCCGCGCCGCCCGGCCCCGCCAGCAGCTGCAGCAGCAGCAGGAGGAGGCTTCTCCGCACGGAGCCCGCCATGCCTCGGCCAGGACGGAGCAGCGGCGCCTCCGGAGCCTCTGGCGGCCAAAGAGGAGGAGCAGGAGCAGGAGGAGGAGGAGGAGGAGGAGGCGCCGCCCCGAGTGGCCGAGGCGCGCTGCGCAAAGATCTGCGGGCGAAAAGACCTCCAGCAAGAATCGCCAGTGTGCCCCCCAAACAAGCACAGTTAGCACACGCACCCCCCCCCAAATAATTACTTGCGCGTTTCTTTCTCTCCTTCTTAGGTACTTTTATTGGGTTTGACACCCCGAAAGCTCTTGAGCTTTTTTAAGGAACACCCCTCCCCCCCAAAAAACCCGATTCTTAAATTGACTTCTCCAAAGCGCTCCCCAGAAATCCCGGTAATGACCTGGAAAATCCGGGCATATAGCAGCCCTGAATATACATGAACGAAGAGAAGGCAAGGGAGCCCCAAGGGTCATCTAGTCCCACCCGCTATAATGGAGGGAATACCAATAAAACAGTGATACAAGGACTACTGCAATCTACACAAGATTATATCACCAAGGCAACTGCCTGTAAACAAAATAAACATCTATAAAAATGGCAAAAGTTTCTTTCCCAAATCAGTTTTATCTTAACAGCAAACACAGTAAATAAAGAGTTCACTTGCAATATGTTGGTGGTTCAGTGCTCATTTCTTCTCTTTCCCAAATTAGATTTTATCTTAAACAATTGCAAGCGCAGTAATAAATAGTCCACTTTTGATATAGCAGTGGTTGGGTGCTCAGACGTTGTTCCAGTAATCCAACGTTTCGGTGCTAAAGAGCTGAGTCATCAAGCTGCCAAAATCTATTGTAACAGAATTGCGATTAATTAACAAGTAGAATAAGGAGAATTAAAATTAAAAATACGTTGAGAATATGTAATTAAGGTATACCTTTGTAGTAAATGATACACAAGAGAATCATAGAATCCTAGAGTTGGAAGAGACCACAAGGGCCATCGAGTCCAACCCCCTGCCAAGCAGGAAACACCATCAGAGCACTCCTGACATATGGTTGTCAAGCCTCTGCTTAAAGACCTCCAAAGAAGGAGACTCCACCACACTCCTTGGCAGCAAATTCCACTGTCAAACAGCTCTTACTGTCAGGAAGTTCTTCCTAATGTTTAGGTGGAATCTTCTTTCTTGTAGTTTGGATCCATTGCTCCGTGTCCGCTTCTCTGGAGCAGCAGAAAACAACCTTTCTCCCTCCTCTATGTGACATCCCTTTATATATTTGAACATGGCTATCATATCACCCCTTAACAGTGTGTAAACAGCTTAAAGCAGGGGCATATCTACAAGAAAAAAGTGAGACAGTAACTCGTCTATTTGCACATACAGTGGTACCTCGGGTTACATATGCTTCAGGTTACAGACTCCGCTAACCCAGAAATAGTGCTTCAGGTTAAGAACTTTGCTTCAGGATAAGAACAGAAATCGTGCTCTGGCAGTGCGGCAGTAGCAGGAGGCCCCATTGGCTAAAGTGGTGCTTCAGGTTAAGAACAGTTTCAGGTTAAGAACGGACCTCAGGAACGAATTAAGTACTTAACCTGAGGTACCCCTGTACAGTCATACCTTGGGTTAAATATGCTTCAGGTTGAGCATTTTCAGGTTACGCTCTGCGGTGACCCAGAAGTAACAGAATGTGTTACTGCCGGGTTTCGCTGCTCGCACATGTGCAGACACTCAAAATGACGTCACGCACATGCACGGAAGCGTCAAATCGCGACCCGCACAGACGCACAGTCGCAGGTTGCGTTCTACTCAGGATACGAATGGGGCTCTGGAATGGATCCCGTTTGCATCCAGAGGTACCACTGTACCTAGTTAATACCCCCAGTCACTAAAGAGGACAATGTCCTGCCGTTTGTCAAACCTCCTTAGGAAATGTGGGCAGAGCTCACAAATTTAAAGACATAACGGCAGAAAGTCCACAAACAGCTGCATGTAATTACTTGAATCCTGTGAACTAATGTTGAATTTAGTCCACATGGAACTAGTGTGTTGAGTTTATAGCAGTCTTAACAGGGCGGGAGGTGGCACCAATGTATATCAACTGATAAGGACAATCAATTAATTAAATCACGTTTCTGGTGCCACAGTTAGTGAATCCATTCGATTTCAGAATCATGGAGCTGTTAGGGACATGGTAAGAGGCACTTTCAATAGCCTGGTTGCAGGCTAAACAGCCTCCACACTTAAAGTGTTCCAGTGGTAGACGAGAAGTTTTCTGTGGTCTTTTAAAAGACCACCTGCCCTGTTAAGACTCATATTTCAGAACACCGATCCCACATTAGAGGCAACATCAGAGAGGCTCCGCTGGTTGAACAGTTCATTGAACAAAACCACACTTGTGATGACTGTCGCTTATTTGTTGTAAAGCACCTATCTTCAACTCTCTCCACTGGTTTTAATGTGTCCAGATTACATTCCCAGATGGAGTCCTAATATATTTATAAACCCAATAAAAATACCTAAGAAGGAAACAAACAAACAAACAAACAAACAAACAAACAAACGCATAAGTAATTACTTTGAGGGTATGCTATGGTTTAAGATAAAACTGATTTGGGAAAGAAACTACTTTTGCCATTTTTTATGGAAGTTTATTGTTTATAGACAGTTGCCTCGGTAATGGAGGGATGGCAGCTACAGAATCCGTGGCAGGTGGCAGATGCCTGGACACCATTCTGCTCCTTCCGAGACAAATAAACATCCCCTGAATACAGCGCAAAGATAAATAGGGTGGGAGAGATTAAAATGCATTATTTGGGTTGTGTGGTCAAAGCGCTGAGCTCACTGCAAATGATTGGGGTGTAACTTCTCCAGATCCTCTCGTGGGAAGGAGAGAAAGAAGCCATGACGCAACAGCAATTCCGCACAACATGTTGACCAATAAGTGTATGTAAATACAGATAGATATTATGCACCAAGGACCACTGTGCCAGGCTGTTCCACAGTAGTTCAGCCTCACCTTGGGTCATTGACAGCCTCCTTTTTCCCTTGGATGTAAACTCTGCTTCCCATAAAATAGATGGAAGTCCAGAGCCTCTGACTACCAGAACAGGATGCAAATATCTGGCTTGTATGCGACGCGAATCATGAATCCTGTTGAGAGTCAAGTCACCAGAATATGGGCAGGACTTAAGTAGATTTGAATAGTAAATGGAGAATCAACAGCACAAGGCCTATTTGCTTCTTCTCAGGTAACTGCAATAAGACTGCAGTGAAATCTTCTGCCTTTTAGAAGTATTTAGCAATATAATGGTTTCATATACATAGATATGGCTTTTATATGTAATTAGTGTTATTCATAATTAGACCAACAGTTTTCAAACACATCATTCCATAAAATTAATAACCTTTGATCTTCTCTTTTAAAAAAATGGCATTCAGGTTGTGTGAGTGAGTGGATATAATGCAAGCAGGTAGCCATGTAGAGGAATCTGCTTATATAGTACTTTCCTCTCCATCTATCATGCACTGGCTTGAGATATTGATTAGAAAGCTCTGCAATAAACCCCTGGCACTTGATTTATTTGACAGTTTTCTTCATTGCAGGGTCCCTGCTTCATATACACCAAAATCCTATATTGCACACAGGCAATTTGCAAAGAATATTACATGCCTTTGTCTTTCGTTTTACAATGTGTGCTCAACACAAAGAATTAGATGAAGCAATGTATTTTCTTCCGACAGCAAAAAAAATGTGTTCTAGTGCTGCCCATCAAATTGCATTCAGCAATCAAGCTTTATTTGTGGAGCCAACCATTTCCTGAATCGGCTCTGTTGTTCCAGATTTATGGCACTATTTTTATCACCAAGTGGATCTAATGGCCTGCTGCAATCTTAATTGGCATAAATTAGCATATCCATTGAAAGCTTTTTCAGCTCTATTCTTTACCATTACTGTAATTTATTAGGTCAAACATCTAGAACTTTCCCTGTGTGCACAACTTGGAGATTCTTGACCCTTGCTTTCCTTTTTCTAGGTGTTATGACAAATGATTATATATTTTCGTGAAACCAGCTGTGTTATACTAGGCCACACTATTGGTCTGCCTAGAGGATCACACGATTAGCACCCCCATCTCTTGCAGGCCAAGAGGGGCTGGCGTGTGTCTTGGGGGCAGGGAGGCAGCTGCGATGGCACCCTACTGGGATCGCGCTGCCGGGGGCAGTGCGCTCCCCCCCACTCCTCTTCCTCCACCAGTGGGTGAAGCCACCCACCTGCCAATCATATAACATTGGGGTGGAGCTTGGGGGCACGATTTAGCCCATTATTCTGAATAAAGTATTAATCTCCTGCCCAGTGGCGGACTTTGGTAATATCGTGTCCTGAATGAGGACAAAATCTGGAACCCCCAAGCTTTGAGTAGACACCTCCATAAATATACCCTTTAGGTAGTATGTTGCTGCTGCTGTTGTTGTGAGTCCCCTTGGCTCAGAGGTCCTGCACCACCTTAAATCCGGCCCTGCCCTGCCATGTACCTTCAGTGGATTGGTGCTGATGTGGGTTGCTCTGAAATAAGTGTCCTTACCCACTCTTCACGGCTGTGGCTTTCTCGCCTAGGGAAACACACCTTGCCTTACTCCCTTAGTGAATTATTAACAGCTTTATGCCTTTAGCTGGAAGCATTTTGTCCTGTCTCCCATGTCCTTCTAATTCCACAAAGATGCCGCTGCCCTAACTAGCAGTACATCAC